GCTCAAAATTTAGCAGCTAATCTACTGAAGATTGTAATTTAGTGGCCGCTTGAAGTGTTTTAGGTAGTGTGCGGGAAAATCTCCGATTCGGATTTTTTTTTTTCTTTGCTATTTCAGTTGCGTTGTGTGGGCGAGAAAAGGAGACGGCACTGCTGGAGAAGCTGCTGCTGGAAGGGCAAACTAGTGGGCGCGCTGCGTCACTGTTCATATCCGGACCGCCAGGCACCGGTAAAACTGAAACTATCAAATTGGTCCTGCAGCACATATCCTCAACACGACATCGGTTCGTATTCATTGAATACTGACTTCAGCTTTTTGAACAATGAACGCTATATACAGTGTTAAATTTTGATCTTCCAATTAGCATACTTGGAGAACTTAGAGAGTTGATTTTGGAATCTACCTAGAGGCTTGTTTTTGTAGGATTCTTTTCCGTTGTTATTATATTTACCCTTTTAATCGTGAAGGTTAAAGCGAAAAATACTTGGGCAGCCTCTGAGGAGATAGCGCACACACATCAAACAAGCGATGGGTACTAAATGTTGGTATGAAGCTTAGGATCGAAAGACCTGGCACAGTTGAGCTTGACGCGTAGGAACATCCCAATGACATAATAATCGGCCAACGCACGGGCTGCCCGTGCGAATATGCGTTTTTTGCATGGTTCCCAGCAGCTTTTGTTGCTGCCGGCACCGGTTTTTTTCGGCTAATGCTTCTAGCTAAACAAATTAAGATTGGCCACCAGAACTGTCAGGAAACATCCCCTTAAAATTCCAGCTTTCTGGCTTCCGTGGCCCCCCAAGATTTCAGCCTTCTAGCTTCTCAGATCCCCGAGTTATGAACTTACCTGAAAAAAATTTTGGCGGGCTCGTACGCGGGTACCACGCTTACCCGGGGGCTGGGTTTGAGCCCAATAATACCCGCTTCGCAGGGAACATTACCTCAAAATTTCAGCGTTCTAGATTCTCAGGCCCTCGAGTTATGATCTGACTCCAAAAAAACTTTGGCGGGCCCGTACGCGGGTACCAAGCGAGTTTGGCGCCCATTTTGGAGATTGGGGGCGGTACGTGCATGTAGATTAAATTCCCGAAATTTCAGCCCCGCAGCTTGTATAGGTCTTGAGATGAAAGTGCGTGTTTATAGGTCCTGAGATGAAAGTGCGTGACAGACGCACACACAGACACACAGACGCACAGGCACACAGACACACAGACCACGGACACACAGACAACCTCTCGTCAATATGCGTTTTTCGCATTGCATTGCTGCAAAAAACGCATAAAAAACATGAAAGCACTATATCTTTTGTCCAAACGACTTTCTTTTCGGCTTCCATTGTATTTTTGGCAATGTTCTAGCAAAGTACGAAGATAATCGGGGGTTAAAATCTGAATTGCTTATTGTTTGCAAATTTAATTTGTATTGTGTTTTAGCTGTGATGTTTAGTACCATCAACAGCCGTATTTTAGTGTTCGTTCAGTATATATCAACTGTGTTTCAAAGGATACAGCAAGCGATATATTGAGGGCGATCGAGGATCATCTAAAATTTTCGAGTAAAAGGCTCAGTGCCGCGAAACTGCAAACAGAATTACAGCGGCATTTTGCAAGCATCGACGAGCATATGTTAGTGCATTCTTTCTCACTGTGTTGCCTCAGTTCAGGCCTCTGCGGATTTACAAATGCCTCTTTCATATGTCGGGACAGTTGCTCAGAGTAGCTGTCGTCCTGAAAATTTGTTTGCTTCAGTATCGTTGTGCTGGACGAGTTGGATTATGTGAGGCCGCGCGATCGCCACTTCATCTGCTCCATGTTTCATTGGCCTAGCTTGTATAAAAGTGTTTCGGTTATCGGTAAGTACTTTTCCAGCTTTTTTACACGCCGATTTCTATGCGTTCTTTGCATCTATGCAATGAAAAAATACATATTGTCGAGGAGCTGTCTGTGAGTGTGTGTCTGTGTGTGCGTCTGTACCGAGATTTCATCCCGCTTCCTACAAAAGCTACAAGACTGAAATTTTGGAAACTTAATCGACACGCATTTACTGGCCTTTATCCCGAAAATGGGCACTTTTACCCACGTAGTTCCCATGTATGGGCTCGTGAAAATCTTTAGCGAGTAAGCTGCTAACTCAAGAACCAGAAAAGCTAGAAAGCTGAAATTTGAAGGGGATGTTTTCTGCAAGTCGTGGTGGTCAGTTTCAATTCTTTTAGCTAGAAGCATCTGCGGGGAAAAAACAGCGGCGTTAGTGACAAAATTCTGCGGGGAACTATGCAGAAAACGCACCTTCGTACTCTCAGTTGCTGCGTTGGCTAGTTTTACTTTTTGATTGCTTTTTGACAGGTTTGCTTCAACCACCAAGCACATGTTTTCAGGCATTGCCAATACACTGGGTATGGCTGAGCTGCCGATGAATAAGCTAAAGCGTGTTCCCGAATTGATTGTTTTTGCGCCGTACACTGAGGCCCAGTTACGGGTTATCATATCACAAAAATTGGTTCGTATTCATTGGCAGTAACTTACCACTACGGTTTTTTCTTGGATGAAATGCATTTTGAATTTGGCATTATGCGGTCTGCAATCAGCAAATCGTCCTTTTCGTGTTGGACTATTATTTTACAGTTTGTTTGTCGGACGTGGGTCATTGGCACTTTTTACTGATTTCAGAAAACAAATAACAATGCAAGTGCCGTTGAACTGTGCGCAAGGAAGGTAGCCGCGACGACGGGAGATGCACGCAAAGCGGTACAAGTTGCTCGCCGGTTCGTATCGCTTATATCCTTTTGATTTTGTTCACATAACAAATGACTTGGTAGTACAAATTATCTTCCTTTTTTATGCGTTTTTGCTGTGCAGCGCTATAGCTATAGCGCTGCTC